CAATATTATATTAACATGCTCTGATGATAAGGAGTTAGACATTCTACTTCACCTCCCCACCTGAAAGGAACTCTGTTCCAACTGCCAGTTGCCTTATATTAACACGCTCTGATGCTACCCTTGGGCATGGCTGGCATATGACTCTTCTGGCCCGGGGGCTTGGAGTTTAGACATTCTACTTCACCTCCCCACCTGAAAGGAACTCTGTTCCAACTGCCAGTTGCCTTATATTAACACACTCTGATGCTACCCTTGGGCATGGCTGGCATATGACTCTTCTGGCCCGGGGGCTTGGAGTTTAGACATTCTACTCCCCCACCCCACCTGTAAAGAACTCTGTTCCAACTGCCAGTTGCCTTATATTAACACACTCTGATGCTACCCTTGGGCATGGCTGGCATATGACTCTTCTGGCCCGGGGGCTTGGAGTTTAGATATTCTACTCCCCCACCCCACCTATAAAGAACTCTGTTCCAACTGCCAGTCGCCTTATATTTACACGCTCTGATGCTAAGGAGCTAGACATTCTACTCCACCTCCCCACCTGTAAAGAACTCTGTTCCAACTGCCAGTTGTCTTATATTAACATGCTTTGATGCTACTCTTGGGCATGGCTGGCATATGACTCTTCTGGCCTGGGGGCTTGGAGTTTAGACATTCTACTCCCCCACCCCACCTGTAAAGAACTCTGTTCCAACTGCCAGTTGCCTTATATTAACACACTTTGATGCTAAGGAGTTACACATTCTACATTAATTTTCAAGTTTTAACTGTCAATGTATCATGCCCGATTGTAACTACTCATTAATTTTGAAGCTTTAAGTGTCAATTTATCAAACCCAATCACATAGTTTCATACCAAACAATCCATATTTAATTCTCAGGATGTTGGACCAGACTTGTCCTCGTTTTTGCAGAAGAAAAATGACGTGAGATCCAAAAACGCCGGGAATGTGGGTTTCTGCTTCCAGGGAATAATGCTTTAGCTCATTATCTGCCTTTTTCTCGAAACACACTAAGAAACAAACACAAAGTCAATCAAGATCAGAAATGCATTAAGCCGGAACAGGAATACAAGTAGTTTTCGAGTTACAACCGTTCGTTTGGTCAAAATCGGACACTCTTAAGACTTCGTAAAGGCAAGGAAAAGGCTTTAGGTCTGTCTCCAGTTTTATCCAGGTTGTCTCTGGGGCTACAGTGTCCTTACCTGCAAAGGACGCAGCATCCTTCAGCAGGTTAATCAAGGATACTGAAAATGCCACTTTCTGGCTGGCCAGTCTTGTGAGGTTTCCTGTAAGGACAACAGGACTTCCATGTCTTAGCAATTTGGCCTCCAGACGGATTGCATATCTCTGCTCTCCTGCCACGGATGGCAAATCGGTCCTGCCCTGCAGAAAATTAGACGTATCTCATTGATTTTGGTAATTAAAATATCTGGTCAGAGACCCGCAAGAGGTACTTTCTCAATTGAAGATACACTAGCTGGTGTTGTGGCCTGCCAGTGGCCAGTGGAGCTGGCAACAGATTTGGACAGTGAGGAGGTTGAGGAGGAAGATGGGCCAGTCCTGGAGTCTGGGGAAGGCTCTGATGAGGGCTCTGCGTCGGAGGCAGAGAGAGGCCCAGGACCATCT